CGAAACAGCGTTGTATGTTCACCCAAACTTCAATAAATTAACTAAAACTTAGTAATACTCGAAACAGCGTTGTATGTTCAGCCAAACTTCAATAAATTAACTAAAACTTTTGTTGTTGTCTTTTCATTTCTCTTCGAACCTTTCTAAAGTTTTTTTTCTGAAAATATTTTTTATATATATGAGGTATAGACGAAATCCGTACAAAAATTTTATAATATGATATTTAAGAATAAATGAAAGTTCTTTCGATAATGGTCAAAATTTTTTTAAAAATATTTTATATGAATTATTATTACAAAATCATTCATATATATATATAGTAATAGATTATTAATTTTAAAATTATAGCATTATAATTTAATATAAGAGAGTTTCATTTGTATGAATAATATTTGAAACATCTTTCATTCGAAAAATATCTACATCTATATTTTTGGGCTGACTTCTTTGATAAAAGTATATATAATATATATTTTATTTGTTAAATAAATTTCCTTGCTCACTGTACTTTTATGGGTTTGTTTAAATAAAAATGCCTTCCTCTTATATTTTGGTGTATGATTGCTGAAGTGTGTTATAACTAAATGTAAATTTCCTATAAAAGTATGCATGTGAAGTTAATATCTTGAACTATTTTCTTTTATTTATGTATCTGCATACAAATGTACAGATTTATATGTGCGCATATTATATGTACAGATTGTTTATGTTTTATTAGGACTTTGTAATTCTATTGTTTTTATGTTAATGACTTCTGAAAAGAAATGAAAATAATGAATTACTAAGAGGGTCAATGCGTTCTCTCAGTTTCTTCAAATATTTTCTTCCAAACAAAAGATAGTTGCAAGAGCAAAAATAACTATCTTCAAACAAATATCATTTTGAGATTAAAAAAAACATTCTTATAAAAAATGAACTATGATATATAGGTTTATATATACATATTAAAAGAAAAATATAACTTTCATTTTAAAATAAGAATTATAACACTAATTACATAAATTTTAAATTATTAAATTAAATTTATAATTAAATAACTATAATAATCATAAATAATAATAAATAAAGATATGTTTACTATCTTCACATAGCTGAGGCAATACCCAAACTTATGGGAGACTACTTATTAACAGGTAACACTGTGGTAAAAAAAAAGTGATATTGTTTTAACATTTTACAATCTCATTTATTCTTCTCAATCTGTTTGATTGCCTTAAAAATACTTCCCTCCCGACACAATACACTCATATAAATTTTGTTAATATTCCGGGAATAATTTCCGGGAAAGACCGTCAACGAATCGGATTGAAGACGATAGTTGTGAGACGATTTGAATTGAATTTTTGGCGAATTGGTCTCAATGACCCAATGCATTAACGTGGTACAAGAACCAAAAATTGTTAGCTCGTTTTGCGAATTAATGTTGCATTTCACTTAGTTAATATTCATTGTTAACAGTTTGGCCATTCAAAACCGCAATAATCGACAAAAACTTTTATATGCCTATGATTTTTAAAGGATTTTGGTTTGATCTTTTCAGCCTTAATTTACTTTATTTAAGGTATACCCTTGATTTGTCGATTGTTTCCAAGTCGTATGCATAGATCCAAGTCTCATCTCTAGTTATTAAACATTTCATCTTCTTCTTATAATCAGAAAGCATTGTTTGACAGACTTCAAATCGAAGCTGTTTTTTCAAAATATTGAGTGTTCTAAAACCCAAACAGGTTTTTATTCTTTTTAACGACGAAACATTTTTCAAAGTGACCTAGACCAATCCAAGTAAAATGTTAACTATATTAGCAAGCTTCATAATTGTAAGTGAATATGTTTACGGGATCCGTAAAATATCAAGGGTTCCAGAAATATCTAAGAATTAAATTAAATTTAATTAAATAGTTTAAAACTTCGTCGATAGTCATTAAAACTGTAATTGATTTTTAATCACTTAGTCATTGATTGATTATTTTAGTCAGTTTATATGAAAGCTCCAAAAATAAGTACTTTTACTTATATATCACCTTACAAGTGTTTTAGAATATATTCGATAAACTAACTTTGTTATATATTTCAACTGGATAGTTTAGTATTTCGTCGGCATTTATAAGGCAATTACGTGATGATATGCGGAGCCCCCAAACTTTTACCTATATATTATCACTTGACAGATTATTAAAAGTATATGCAACAATCTAGAAAAATAATCGTCATCATTATTAATGGCGCCACAATTCTAGTTGAATTTTAGCCTCCCTTTGTAATTGCCTGTATGTCGTTTGCTAAAGTTCTCCAGTTTCTTCTGGTAAGCAGCTCCGCCGTTTGCTCAATGTTGTCTATTCAGCGTAAGCTTGATAAACCTAAGGAAATAATAACCTTTCGTAAAAATGTTATAGTCTTTGTTCCAAAATCAAGTGATAATTTTGCACATTAAGCGCTTTATTCTATTTTAACAGTATTTATATACAGTGGCCAAATTGAATATTGGCCATAAGTATTAATGTTATAGCCTATGTATGATCGGTTTATGTCAAGATTACATAGTGTTAATAACCTAGAGGTCAATAAAGCGATTAAACGTTAATTTGGTACATGCAAAATAAAACAAAATTTATAATATTTGAATATTTTTAAATATATTGATGAGAATTATACATTGATTGAAAGTTTGAAGATACATAAAAATATTTTTCGATATAAATATATCATTATTAAATTATCATTATCATTATATTAGGATGACAGTCTTAGTATTACGTTCCTTAAGTTCTATACATAAGAAAGTATAAATAAATCATGCAACAAATAATGCCTCTACAAACAGAATAGTATTGAAATTGAACAATTAAAAATAAAAATATAATTAACTAATTTAATTATTCTACAGCTGGTTTATGATTTCGTTCTAATATAAACACAACAAATGAATTTGTTAATAAAATTTTCACAGAAAATTAACAAAAGTCCAGCTCCTTAACTCAGTTGATTAAGAAGCGCTGACTCTGAGCTTCAAATTTGGCATGGCACGATTTCGATTCCTGGTACTTGCAATCTCAAAAAATTATTTTTAAATAATTAAATATAAGAATTATTTCCAAGACCACTGATGTAGGTATTTGGCAATAATTGAAACAAAAATTCAATTAATTAAAATAATATAAAAATGAATTTTTGTTATTGTAGTTCACTACTATTCGAAAAACCTCTCTATGAAAATACAATATATATAAAATGTGCAGAAGATATAGAATAGTACAAATCCTTAACCATATCCATAACCATTTTCTTATATAAATAATCGGACTATATTATGTATGTTCAACATAGTGCCACATGACATAATATAATTTAAGGTCTTCAAATCCATTTCGATCGAAATTTTCTTTTATCTTTTGCAGCCACAATATTTTTACTAATTCAAATTAATTAGTTTCATAAAAGTTTCATAGTGTTAAGTTGTATCCATTAATAAATTTTATTGGATAATATAATAAATATAATAATATGTATTATAAAATTCGCGCTTCAAAAAAGCACCATTTTCTAAAAATGACCAGAGTAGCATACGGAGAAAAAGTATTAAATGTATAAAAAGCATTAAATCAATACTTAAATAGTATTAGTTTCATAGTGTAATGTTGTATCTATAAATAAATTTTATTGGATAATATAATAAATATAATAATATGTATAATAAACTTCGCGCTTCAAAAAAGCACCATTTTCTAAAAATGACTACCAGAGTAGCATACGAAAAAAAGTATTAATTTCAGTAAAGTACCATATGTGGCAACCGTGAATCTGGATATGGATCTAGATATTAATTGATAAATAAATAAATTATATATTGTAGTTTACTGTCTAAAGAAACTGTGTTGTACATAATATATTATAAGTTAATAGAATGGGTCGAGAGAACGAGAGAGTTAAAGAAAAGAAGACAAGTAGGGTGCTAAGTATTAACGGTAAATAAAAATTGTTTGGTTAAGAATTAAATTAATACTGAAAATATCTTAAGTTATTGACAGACCATACAAAATTATTCCTTAAACTTTAAATTATTCCTTATTCCTTAAAAACAAAATTATTATTATACCATACAAAATTATATATTATCTTATTGAGATAATATAACTGCCCACTTGTAAATGAATTCCGTTTCATTTAAAACTATTATTAGTAATATTCTTAGAAATAATTAATCCAACGTTTTTACATTACGACTTTAAACGTTTACAAATTATTGATCAAGAACTTATAGAGGTAAAAACTTGGAACATGGAAATTTTAATATAACTTTTTCAAGGTTGAAATAATTTAGTTTTGTGCTCCAACAACAAAACTACTGACTTTATCACCAAATCAAATTAACATGAAGAGCAGCAAATGAAAAATGTCTATCGCAGCAAAATACTGAAATAAATAATGAAACCGAATTCATTTTAAATAAAAGCAAAAACATGAACAAAAAAAAAACAACAAAACAACAAAATATAATAACAATAAA